GGAGCACAGGCGGGCCGTTGGCCTCCCTGACGGCTGCCGCCTCTGTTTTCCTGGCTCTTGTGGAAGGTACAGCTCCTGAAAGGGTTTGAAAGGACAGAGGCATTTTTTTATTTTTAACTTTATGTCATTACCTGTGACTGTACCGTGTAGGTTCACAGAAGGTGCACGTTTGTGTTTTATGTTGAAAAGCACTGTACCCAACATTAAACAGGAGCTTCAAAGACTCTGATACGAACGTACGGCTCCCGCAACATCAGTGTATTTTTCCGTTTGTTTCCCTCCTGTGTGTGGCTCCTCTTATGACGGCTCCTGAGTTCGCTATGCCTCTGTTACGTGTTTTTGAGGCAAACCCGTGTTTCTAAGAGGCAGGACCTGAGACCCGCTGCTTTCCCGTGCTCTAGCCTCTGCTGGGACTCGTGCAGGAGAGCAGACGGACCGGCAGTCTTTCCAGCCTCTTTCCGCCCGGCCTCCATGTGGGTTTCCCCGCCCGGCCTTGTCACCGCACAGCCAACTGCCCAGATAGCTGTGATGATCCCACCGGGCTGCTGCGCCCCCCAGCCCGGCCAAGGTCATTGTGTGCACAGCCTGGGCCTGGGCCGTGGAGTCGCGGCCCGGCACCAGTGGAAACCAGTCCTTTGTCTGGAAGCCCGAAGCACAGATGGGTCCCCCGATGCCTGAGGGTCCCAGGCTCAGGCCCCCCCCCCACCTTTGGAGAGAGTTGTGTGAAGGCCCGGTCCTTGACGTGGTCACAGAAATTCTGTTCTGGTTTAAAGCGACACACGGTGGACTATTTATTCTAAGCTGACGCGAGGCTGCCTGTGGAAGGAAACGGCCAAGTCCCCACCGTGATGGCTGCGCCGCGGCATCTGAGCTCGGCCAGTCCTCCCTGAAGCCGCACCGGCCAGCGTGCGGCCGCTGCAGAAGACAGTTGGGGAGAGGTTCTCGCAGGCGCCGGGGACATGGGCCCTGATCCTGACGGGAGGCTGGGTCCCTGCGGGAAGGAGGTGCAGAGATCACTGCGGGGACCTGTGTGTGGCGTCTCTGCTGGTTTTGCTGAAACCCAAGCAGAGGTGCAGACACGGCCCTGGAGGTCCCGCTGAGCTGCCCCCCAGGGCGGTCGGAGGGGCATCCCGTGTGGGCCAGGCTTGGGAGAATGGCCCCGCCAGCATCTCCGCCGTGGCCTCGCTCCCTTCTAGAAAGGTCTAGACAGCAAGCCTCCCTGAAGTGGGTCAGGATGGAGAACCAGGGTGCTCTTGTGGGTGAGGCATCCACGTGGACTGTTCGGTTACCGTGAAGTATTTTTATATATCTGTGTTCTGAGCTCTGGTTGTGGAATCGAACTATTCAGACTGGAATTAAATGCCGTTTTGCAGCCCTGCCTGTTCTTTCCTGGGCCCCACGCGCAGCCCACCTCGGGCACTCGGGCCGGCCACGCTGTCCCCGATGGCTGCTTCTGGAGGCTCCTTCCCCAGCCTGGCTGGGGAGGCGGGTCCCATGTCAGCCCAGCCGAGCCGGTGTCTCAGGTGTGCCGGGTGCTGACCAGAAGTGCTGGAGGCTTCCGCTGCTCGGCGCCCAGCCCCATCCCAGTCCTGTGCCCCGGCAGGTGTCTTCAGCTCCTCACTCCCACTGTATTATGTTTTTGTTCGTCTTGAAACTTTGTCCCAGGGCCACTGGGGCAGGCAGTGCTGGGTGGGCGTCTGTTGATGCCCCAAATTGGCGCTGGGTAGTGGTTAGGAAGGCAGAGCCAGCCGACCAAGTGAGGAATGTTCCAGGAGGAGCAGTGAGGTGGCCCTGGCCCCCGGGAAGCCAGCGCACTGGGCTGTTTCTGCATCAAGAAGAGAGACCCAGCACAACACGGGGTGCAGCCAGGGCCCCCACCGGCCGGCCCGTGGCCTCCTGCACCCCCGTCCACCACAGCCCCAGCTTCCCTGCACCCACCCTCACCCGGTGTCCCCCCTCAGCTGTCTGGGCTCCGTCCAGCTGGCGTCTCAGCAGCCCACATCTCTGCACGGCCACCCTGCTCCCCCACTGTGTCCCGTCCCCTCCCCAGGTGTCCACCCCTGCCCCGGTCACCTCCCACCACTCACAGCCACCCTTCCTGAACCTTTTTCAGCCAGACCCCTGACCCCAGACCCTGCGATGCTTGTCCTACAGTCGCTGTACCTTTCTCGCTCCAGCCCAGATGGCATGAGGGGACGATCAGACCCCCCAGTGCGAGGAGCAGTGCATCAACAAAACCACTTCCTGGAAGGGGGAGTTTTCCTTGTGTTCACTTGAGCACCTCTTTAAGTCTATCATTTATCTAGGAAGCTGATTAAGACGAGGGATGCACACACACACAGAATCTCAAATCAGACAGGCACGTCTATGCAGTGTGGTCAGTGGCCCTCCCCCCAGTGCATGGCTTCTACGGCCAGGCTTTCCTGTCCCGGCTCCCCTCTCAGCCCCTGCACCCCCCATCCTCCTGCCCCTGCTCCACCCCTTTCAGGTCCTGCTCCCCACCTCCTCCAGCCCTGGCTCCCCCCCCCCCCCCCCCCCACCTCCTCCCCACCTACCCATCTGCCCTCACCCCCTCACCCTCAGTGTTCCTGGAATTATGGTGAACCCTCTGTTAACTCCCTGCCCTGTCAGACCTGCTTCTCCGTTTCAGGGCTTGCCCTTGACAGTCCCAGTTTCCTGATGCAGGCTTTTACCTCCCCTATCCACCCCCCGCTCCCCATCCAATCCATCACCCTGACAGCCGATGGCCCCTCCTGTATTAGTTATCCATCCCTGCCTTAGCACTGTACCGGCCCCTGGCGGCTGGAAGCAGCATTCTCTCTTGACTGGGCTGTGGTCTCAGGAGGTCGCGGTCAGATGTCTGAAGGCTCGAGCGAGGCTGGGGGCTCGGCTCCCAGGTGCCTGGCTCACAGGACAAGGAACGTTAGGAGAAAACAGGAGCCTGAATAGTGTCTGGACATGAGTTGGCGATGTATATACATTGGGTCATGAATTGCTAAGGTCAGTGTAAAATGTTAGCAGTAGGAGAGACTGGGTGATGAGTACAGCGAACTCTGGTACTAGGTTTGCAACTTTTCTCTGAATCAAACTATTTGGAAGTACAAGGTTTATTTTAATTAAAAAATTCCAGCTCCACAGCCTGGCCAGCTGTGGGAACTGAGGGCAAGGAGGTGTAGGATTCCCAACAGACCCAGCCCTCGGCCCAGCCCCTCTCTTTTCTCCTGTGTGTCACCACCGGGATGGTGACACCAACCGGTGCCCCGCCTCCCCTTCCCGGGACCGCGCAGTCGGGCTCCACGACACACCTGGGGTGGTCCTCCCTCGCCAGGAGCCAGCCCTGCTCCTCATCTGCGTTCCCCCGTTGGGAACGGGGGAACCTCCGTTTCCCCATATGTATTGTAAAATGGGCAGAATAGGTACCCAGCAGGACTGTCACAGTTAAACGACATCCGAGCAGAAGGTGTCTCTGCAAACTCCCTTTTGGTATTCAGTAGTGTTCCTTTTGACAATTATATTCGTTCTGATCCTGCCACTTAAAAAATATTGTAAATGGGAGTGGGGAAGGGGGTCATTTGGGCTGGGATCATAGTTTTGGGGGTGGACCGGGGTGGGTGGGGATGAGGCCTTGTTCTAAGCCCTCCCGCACTGGCATGAGCCAGCAGCCCAGCTCCTCATCTGAAGAATGGAGAGTATTCTGGGGAGGAAAGGTCAAAACCGACACATTCTGGGTAAAAGTGCTGGGAGAAGCTGGATCAGCTTGGAGCAAAACAGAACGCTGTTCGCTGGGGGCACCAAAAAGTCTGCCGAAACCCGGGATCGAACCAGGGACCTTTAGATCTTCAGTCTAACGCTCTCCCAACTGAGCTATTTCGGCTGCGCAGCAGGGCGTTGCCCCCACCCCCGACTCCGCCCCACACTGAGCCGCTTGCGTGCAGGCGCAGCTCGGGCCGCCCCTGCGGGCCGCGCATGCCTCGTAGGGTGGCGCCGGGAAACAGACCTTAGCACCGTCTCTGTGGCGCAATCGGTTAGCGCGTTCGGCTGTTAACCGAAAGGTTGGTGGTTCGAGCCCACCCAGGGACGTGCTTTCGCTTTTCCTTCCCCGGGTAAGAAGAAAGGGGACGGCTCGCCTTCTTTTGCCACGACCCTCCCCGCGCGCTTCCGTATCCTTCTATCCCGCGTGGGGCGTCCGGCGGCGCGCGGTGCTGGGGATTCCACAGAGGCGGAACGTTCCCGCCCGAGTTCCGGTTTCCGAGCACGAGCCGAGGCACTTTGGGCGACGGCCCCGGGGACCCGGAGCTCTGAAGAGGACGGACCATAGAGGTTGTCTGAAGGCCGAGGCCAAGATGGCGGCGCTGGCGGGTGAGAAGGTCGGGGCGGTGGGGGCGAGGTCGGGGCGGCGGGGGCGGGGCGGCGGGGCCGGGGCTTGGGTCGCTCCGGGCGCCTTTCCGCCCGGCCGCTTGGGGAAGCGGATGCCGAGGGCGACGCAGGCTCCCAGCCTCGGAGGGGGCCGGGGCGGGAGCCGGAGAGACCCAGGCTCGGCCCGGGATGCTGCCCTTGCAGTTTCCGGGAGGAGGCGGCGAGGGGGCAGCAGCCCCGACATCCGAGGAAACTGAGGCCCAGAGAGCGGCTGGAACCGCTGGTGGTCACGCGGCCTGTCCGGGCAGGGACGCGACCCCGGGGCACCCTGCCACCCCGGGAAGGGGACGGTCACCTGCAGAGAAGGCGTCCAAACCCTGGCTGCTCCAGGGACCTTTCCTCCGTTTAGCGATTAAACGCATAGGATGGATTCACAGGGTTGCAAAGGAAAGCGGTTATACTGACAGTTGCCAGGATTCTGTCTGGGAACCGGGGGTCAATTCGCAGCCCGGGTGCTTCATTATTCATGCCTGGAAAGCCGAGGTTTAGTGACGGATCTGCCTACTGCTGTGACTTTGAAGGAGTGAGAAGTGGACACGTTCCTTTACACAGGGTTGGCTGCAGCCTCTATGTCGGGGTTAGGAAACCACTGTCATTTCTGTTGGTGAAAAGCCTCGGTCTCGCTAATACTGGTGTGGTTTTGGCTACACTCAGATTTTAAGGAAAGGCCAATTTTCAGTAAGACGTTGGTGACAATAGAGAGGGTATTTTTCTTTCCCGTGCAAGCTCACCGGTCTGCTGAATCCTCACCAGCGGCCCCTTGCTAAGAATGTCTGGTCCAGAGGCTGGAATCCCCTCACCTTGGAGGTGAAGGGCATTTACTGTGCTGTGAGGTTACCCAAAGCCCTACATTTTCAGGTGGGGGAGCTGAGGCTCAGAGAGGAACAGCTTGCACAAGAGTCCGGGGCTGGGCCGTTGGCCTGGACTCCTTGCCCAGCCTCTGAAACCCCGGAACTCCCAGCCCAGGCCTTGGAGCCTCGCTGATGTCTATGGGTTTGTTGACTTGACACATGCCTGTCAGGCTGAGCCAAGGCCGAGACAGACACTGGGGAACCCAGGGAAGCCCTAGCATCAGGGGGAGGCAGGCGCCACAGGAGGACATGTGGATAGAGTTAGAACGGGGTGACAGGATCTAGAGGGCCTGCGGAGCTAGTGTAGACCCAGGCATTTGAGCTGAAAGCTGCCCCATGAGAGTGGTGCTCCAGGCAGAGGGGACAGCAAGTACAAAGGCTCTGAGACAGGAGGGACACTGACATTCCTGAGGAAAGGGAAGGTAGCTCTGACGTGGAGTGTGGGGTTGGGAGCAGGGGAATGACACTGTCTGGTTCACATTCTGAAAGATCACTGGGTTTTTTTTTCTGGCTACACCTTGCGGTTTGCGGGATCTTAGCTCCCCGACCAGGGATCGAACCCGGGCCCCCTGCAGTGGAAGCGTGGAGTCCTAACCACCGGACCACCAGGGAATTCCCCTGAAAGATTGCTCTTTATCAATTGTTTGTTAAATGGAATGTAGATAGACTGAGGGTGAGAGGGCGGGTGCACCACGTGGGGGGCCTGACGGGCAAACACCTGGAGGCTGGACTGTCTGGGCCGTTTGTGGCCTCTGGTGCTGCCACAACTCCCCACCCTGTGGTTCTTTCTGCAGCTCCTGGCCTGCTCCGCGGGATCCTTGCTCTTCGGTGAGTGCCTGCCTGCCTGCCTGCCTGCGTGTCTGCATCTCTGATCCTGACACCCCGCAGTGAGGCCCTGGCAGGGAGGGGTTCAGAGGGGGCTGTCAGGGGGCCTCAGATCCGGGCGGGCCCTCCATCAGCACCAGGCCAGGGGCCGCCTGGCATCCAGCCCCACATCTGCCTGCCCTAGTACCCTCAGAGCCCAGTCGCTACCTGGTGCACGAAAGGCATTCAGCACGTTTGCTCTGATGGCAGCCCCGTGTAGGCCTCCTTGGGGCAGGAAGGCAGGTGGCTGCCAGGCCCTCGGATTTGGGCTGAGTTTGTTTTGATACGGCCTTTTTCCTACAGATAAAATACACACTCACTGCAAAGCAAAGGGAAGACGGGGAAAATGAAGGAAGTATCAAATGAAAACCAGGCACTCTCTAGACCAGGGATCAGCAGATTTTTTTTTCCTTAAAGGGCCAAATGGTAAACGTTTTTGACTCTGCCTCTGTAAAAACAGTCCCAGACACCAAGGAAGTGAATAGGTGTGGTTACGTGTCAATAAAACTTTATTTACGAAAGCCGGCAGTGGGCTGGGTTAGACCCCCTGGTCAGCTTCCCCATCCTGGCCCCGGGGTAACCCTGTCACAGCGTGTTGGGGCGCCCTGGGCTGCTAGTCATGGGCAGTCTGTCTCCCCGCAGCTCCGGCATGGGCGCAGCTCTGCAGGTGCGTGGGGTCCATCCGAGCTTGGCTGCTGACACCCCGAGCAGGTGAGGTCGGCCTTCCCGGGAGCCCACACACCCTGAAGTCTCCACATCCCCCCACCCCAGCACAGCAGCAGCCCGTGGCAACTCCGGGGCACTCCCACCACCCAGCGGGGTATGTGAGGGGGTCCCTGCCCTCAGAGTCCTGCCCAGCCCGCTCCTGTGCGCCCAGGCCAATGGCTGCACAACTCCAGACCAGGAGGGCCCTCGCTAAAGAGTGTGTCAGCCGAGCCTGTTTTCCAGACGGGGAAACAGTCCCCGAGAAGACAGGGTCCTGCTGGGCCTCAGTGAGGCGGTAGAGGCCTGTCCACACCATCTTTCACTCCGGTGTTGAGCAGGCATGTCCTGCCCCAGGCCGGGGCGCAGGGACGTTGCAGACCTGGCCTCACGGCTACTCCCAGTGCTGCTCTGGGGACCCGCTGTGACCACGGCTTTGTCCTGCCCTCGGAGAGGCTGCTCTGGGCTGGGCCCGGCCAGGATACCTGCCTGGCTGACGCCTCCCCTTGCTTTGTGTCCCGTGCCCAGCACCCACCCCGCCGTGTCCCAGGCCGGAGCCGTGGTCCCCAAATCCGCCGCCCTTCCCAGCAGCCGGGGCGAGTATGTGGTGGCCAAGCTGGACGACCTCATCAACTGGGCCCGCCGGGTGAGCCCCTCCTCGTCTGCGTCCGTGGGGCCCCCTCTGGCTGCTCAGCCACACTCCCATGGCTATGGAGTGGGCCGGACTCCCCCAGGGCCCCTCCGTGTGGGGACCTGTGGCTTTGATTCTGTCTCAGGACCCCTGCCCTGCCCCCAGCAGTTCCTGGCCTGACTTCCCTCGGTGCTCCCTGCCCCCCGCATCGGCCCCCAGAGAAGATGAGCCACCTCCCTCCTGTTCTTCTCCTTCCATCTTCTGTTCATTCCCCTCTTTTCTCTCTTAACGTAAAACCCATGTTTTTAATTGGAAATACACGATGGAAACAGTAGCTCCTTCCCAGCAAATATTCTAATCCCCCACCCCACCCCCACGTTCGCCGTGGGACAGTCTGCTCGCTCACGTGCTTGTCCGTGTCTCCCCCTGGACGTGTGTCCTTTGTCCCAGGACAGTGGTTCCTTTCAGTGCTCTCGGGGCGCCCAGCTGGGTAACAATCCCCCATTGACGGGCGGGCTGGTGCTGTCCTGGTATCTGTGTGTGACCAGCGAGTCCACAGTGAGTGTCCCTCCAGGCCCACAGCTCCAGGGTGGCGATGGTCGCTGTGGCCGTGTGCTGTGGAGTCATGGTCCTGCCGTGTTGGGCAGCCCTTGCCTGCTGTGTGACCCGAGCCCTGTTACCTGAATTGGGTCATCCACAGGACAGCAGGGACCTTGGCCAGATCCCAGACTGGACACAGACAAGCAGAGAAAGCTCTGGTGGAGAACAGCTTGTGGGTGGGGGCAGGGGCGATATCAGGCACCAAAGGATGGAGAGAAGTCAGAGGGCATCCAGGAGGGCTTCTGGGAGGAATTGGCACTTTGAGTCCAGGCGGTGTTGGGAACAAGACCCTCCAGGGTGCTGAGCCCCAGGGTCTAGACCTGTGCTGTGTGTGGCCACTGGGCACTCAGAGCAGCAAGTGCCCATGTTGGAGGCCGGGATTTAGGATATGCTGGGTTATGTGGACTATATTATTAAAGCTAATTGCACTTGGTTTTATTTTTGTCTGTTTTTCTTTTTGGTAATGTGGCTGTTGGGAAGTGTAGACCCATGGGCCTAACTCAATTGGCCCTCCTGTCACACAGTCCTGGGCTGGGGCATCAGGCTCAGGCCGATGACCAGTGTCCAGGGCGGCCTTCGGGGTCTGGAGGTCACATGGTTGCTGTGGGCAGGGCCCAGAAAAGGCTAGAAACAGATTTTTCTATGTGAAATTGTCCAATTTCTTTAAACACAGTGGGCCACTCGTCCACTCACGGGCCGACTTCCCCGCCCTGCAGAGCTCCCTGTGGCCCATGACCTTTGGCCTGGCCTGCTGCGCCGTGGAGATGATGCATATGGCAGCGCCCCGCTACGACATGGACCGCTTCGGCGTGGTCTTCCGCGCCAGCCCCCGCCAGTCCGACGTGATGATCGTGGCTGGGACGCTCACCAACAAGATGGCCCCCGCGCTCCGCAAGGTGGGTCCCACCGTCAACCTCCCCCCCCCCCCCCCCCCCCTCCCCCCACCCCCTCCCCTCCCCTCCTCCCAGCCCCGCCCCGCCCCCCCACCCCCAGGCTCGAGCGGCACGCAGACCCCTGTCTCTTCCAGGTCTATGACCAGATGCCAGAACCTCGCTACGTCGTGTCTATGGGGAGGTGAGTGCCCGGCGGGGCGGGGGCTCCAGCAACAGACACGCCGGTGACACGCTGGCTTGTCTCTTCCAGTCTCATTTCTGTGCTGCTTTCTGATTGGGGTTGTCCAGAACGTCCCCTTCTGTCCTGTTATAGTCGCTCCCCAACCCCAACAGCCTGTCCAGTTTCGTTCTGTTTCTCTGTGTTATGACCACAGGAAGGACGTCCTGCTCGGGGGGGCGTTGCAGCCTCCTCACCGTCTAGCCAGCACCTCACTTCTCCATATCATTAAAAGCCATTTAGTCACCTGACTTTTTTGGTTGAGGTAGAATTCACATACTACAAAGTTCACCCTTTCAAAACGTACAATTTTGTGGATTTTAATGCATTCTTAGTGTTGTGTAACCATCACCTCTATCTGATTCCAGAGCATTCCATCACCCCAATAGAAGCCCGTCCTCCTCAGCCGACGGCCCCCCCCCCCCCCCCCAGCCCCTGACAACCAGGAACCCACTCCCTGTCTGTGGACTGGCCTGTTCTGGACGTTTCCCATCAATGGAATCACATGCTGTGTCCTTTCACATCTGGCTTCTCTCACTGAGGGTCGTCTGTTTATAGTCCCACCGTTTGTTTCTGTCCTACCCGGTCCCACAGAAGGTCTCAGGTGGCCGCTGTCTTTCCTGTGACTTGTGTCCCAGTCTTGCCCTTTTCCTGACCGCCTGGCACCTGCTTGAGGTTGGAAGGGGGTGCGGGTTGGGGGCTGCAAGGAGGGACGGAGGCCGTGGTCGCTGGAGAGACTCTCACGGCTGGCGCTCCCCTCCCCACCAGCTGCGCCAACGGAGGTGGCTACTACCACTACTCCTACTCTGTGGTGCGGGGCTGCGACCGTATTGTGCCCGTGGACATCTACGTCCCAGGTGAGCCCCCAGGTGGTGCCCACGCGGCCCTCACCCGATTCACAGAATCCCCACAGCCCCACTGAGACAGCTTGCCCCCTTTTAAGAATAAGCAGATTTGGGTCCAAGAATAAGAGTGACACCGCAGCCTTTCCCCCTCGCTGTCTCTGGAGGGTCTCCCAGTCTGAAGAGTCTGCCCCCATTCCTTTCCAAGGGTCCTCACCGGACGCTGGCGTGGCCTGGGGGTTGGCAGGCAGCCCACATTGTCCTCCCGGGTCCCGAGCCAGGTCACGTGCGGGAGGGCCAGGGACAGGGCAGCTCGGCCTGGGAGGGGTAGCCCAGGCCTCCCTCATCCTGGCTGGGAGCTCGGCCCTGGGGTCAGCAGCTGCCCACCCTGCCCGCCTCTGGCTCCTTTCCCGTGATGGGCCAAGCCCCCCAGCTCTCTTGGTGCAGAGCCCTGTCTTGCCCCTCCCCACCCTGGGAAGTGGCCTGGTTGCCCCCACCTGGAGCAGAGCGGAGGGGAGGGGGAAGGGCAGGAAGACTGAGGTGCCATCCGCCCCCCAGGCTGCCCGCCCACAGCCGAGGCCCTGCTCTATGGCATCCTGCAGCTGCAGAAGAAGATCAAGCGCGAGAAGAGGCTCCAGATCTGGTACCGCAGGTAGTGCCGCTGCCTGGCCGCCCTGCGGCGTCTGCGCTGTTCCCCCAGAGGCGGTCAATAAAGCCCATAAATCCGCCTGGCTGCCCTGCTCCACGCGGTGTGTGGGCCGGGGTGGGGGCCTGGGAGGGGGGCGGGGTCAGGCCTGTCTCTTGTGCCTGGAGGTGCCGAGGCCCCTGGAGTGGACAGCCGGGCCCGGCGTGGCCCAGTGGGAGGCCCCACCCCTGAAGGAGGGGAGTGGACGCATCCAAGAGCGGGTCGGGGTGAAGCAGATGACACCGTGGCGACCAGCTGGGCACCAGGGTCCAGGGCAGACGGATCCAGGGTGTCCCTGTGCTGGGGCTGGAGGGGCGTCGACTCAGAGCGAGGCATCGTGGTGCAGCCTGACTGGGTGGGACCAGAGGGTCTGGGCCTTGGGGCTGCCACCTGCTATGAGGTCCTGACCTAGTTCCACCTCCTCTGGGGACCCCAGCTGCCCACCAGAGGGACACGGGAGGGGCCATGGGTGACTAATTGGCAATGTCTTCAGTGGGCACTAATTGGCAATGTCTTCAGCGGGGGGCTCAGAGGCAGGATCAGAAACTTTGGAGTGGTAGAGCCACTGCCTCGGTGGTGGTCAATTTAACAGGTTTCTTTCCTTTCACTTTTTTTTGGAGGGGCAGGAAGAGTAAAGCAAGCACACGTTTGTGTCCTCGTGCTGATTGGCTAAACCCAGTGTTAGTGTTTATTTCATTCTCAGGACCATGGTAGGAAGATAGTGGCCGTCCCCTTGCAGAGAAGGTTAGGGAAGCTTGTTGATGTCATGTGGCTGGTGTGGGTCTGGACCAGGGCCGAGGGGCCAGAGCCTGCACTCCCGGCCACGAAGGCGCTCAGTAGGGGTCTGGGGGTTAGGGGTTCCTGAAGCCCAGAGCCCCCAGGGTGGCGTGGGCAGCGGAGCCGGTGGGCCCAGTGGGCTCAGTGCTTGGTGACCAGGGGCGTGATCATCTGTGGGAAGGCGTAATAGCGGCAGTCGGCCGGTGGGACCAGCTCCATGACCTGTGTGTGGATGTTCTCCGGCCGGAAGCCTGCTTCCAGCAGGGCTGGCACCTGTGTCTCCTGGCCAGAGGGAGGTGCCGAGTCACCTCCAGGGCCCTGGGGCCTCAGGAGGCACCCTGCCAGCCACCCCTACAAGTGCCAAGGCCCTTGGGGGCAGGGCGGGGCTGCTAAGAAAATGTTGAAGCCCAGGTCTGGGTGGGAATCTCCAGGTGTCCACACACAGCTTCCTGGCTGTCATGGGGTATCACCAGGCTGCTCACCCACACGTCCTCGCAGGCAGAGGGAACCGAGTAGGCAAAGGCCCAAGACAAGGGGTGGCTAGACCCATAAAGATGCACCCTGAGTGGACAAGGGCAGAGTGAGGGGATGCCGCTGGGGACCTTGGGCTGAATCCCTGTATCCTGAGGGCACTTGGGAGCCATCTAAGGTCCTTGAGCTAGGGAGAAACCTCTCCTGACTTACAAGTGGAGGCTCAGAGTCCACCCAAGAGATGAGCCCCCAGGGCCAGAGGCAAGGGACCCTCCCCAGGTCTCAGCTGACCCCATCTGCCTCCCCACCCAAAGTTGCTGTCAGGGGTGGGGCGTGGGGCGGGGCAGGGAGTGCCCAGGCTGCAGCACCTCGAACATGGTGGTGATGTCCGAGTACTTGGACTTCATCAGCTTCCCCCAGGAGGTGAGGTTGCAGTAGGTAAGGACGCCCCCCGGCTTCAGCAGGCGGAAGGCATGGTCCTGGCCGGGGTTGGGGGGACAGTGGTCAGGAGGGGGTGGGGATGGGCAGAGGCGTTCCCAGCGGGCCTCCCGCCAGGTCAGAGGAACGCCGGAAGGAGAGGTGCCTCCTGTGGGGACGGCAGGCGCACCCACTGGGCTGACCCCCACCTTAGGGCTGGCAGACCCCATCCCACCGCAAGCGATCCTACCCGAATGAAGTTGAACTGGTGCGTGTGCCAGGTCTCCTCAGACAGCGGGTACGTGTCGTACAGGATCCCTGCTCGGGAGGACAGAAGCCACATGGTCAGGACACTGGCTGCAAGTTGAGGCGGCCGGGAACCCAGAGTTCGCTATGCTGCAGCTGCCCCTACGAATTGTGTCCCATCCGGTCGTTCTTGAGATGTCCACGCACCTGAGTGCCAGGCTCCTGTATGTGTGTCTGTGCCTGCCCCCCGGGCTCTGCCACCCCAGTGACACATCAAGGCATGTGTGCCTCAGAAGCAGGCAAAGGAGGGGCTGGCAAACCAGGCAGAGGCCCCCCGCCCAGTGCCCAGAGCCCCTCACCATCGAAGTGACTGTCTGGCAGGGTGGGCGCCACCTCCTCCCACAGGCCTTTCAAGGGAACCACCTTGGTGCAGGGGAGAAAGAAAGAGAAGGCTGAGGGTCAAAGGGGGCCCAGGACTTCTCCACCTGTTGCAAGGGAGGGGGCAGAGGAACTCCCAAGAGAGAAGACCACCTCCCCCAAGTCTGCGACCACCCCAGGTCCCCAGCCCACTCCGCGGGCAGGGCCTTCCCCCTAAGGAGCGTGAGGAGCGGGACCTCGGGCAGAGGCGGGCACCTTGTGTGGCTGCCGCGGGGCCCAGTCCTGGAGCCGCTGGAAGACGCCCTCATTGCACTCGATGACCCAGTGCTCGTCGATGGGGGCCTCCTGCACCTTCGTAGCTGCGATGGCCATGCCAAAGCCCACCTCCAGCACCCGGCCCCCTGGGCAGACAGAGGGGGCCACGCCTTACACACTGGGTGGGGCTGAGGAGGCTGCCTGGAGGAGGGGGCGCGGGGGCAGGGCCTTGGCAGAGAGAAACGACTGCTACTAGGAGCAACAGGTTGGCAGAGCAAAGGTGGGGGGTGGGACAGAACACAGCAGCCCTGAGAGGGAACAGCGTGGGCCCGGGGCCAGTAGCCAGAGAGGGTGGCCTGCCGGGGAGGCCACGGACAGCGGCTTCTGGGCTGGCCCACGGGGCAGGGCAGACCCTGGACTTTGAGCTCTGGCCCATGCTGTTTGCACTGAGGGCGCTTATCTCCTGATTTGGGCAGCATCCCCTGCCCCCCCCCCCACAACAAACAATGAAGTCTACTAAGTAAGGGCAAGGGAGGACCAGGATTCAAGGCCCAGGCCTGGAACAGTGAGGGGCAGGGGTCGAGACCCTCTGGGTCAAAGAGGAGGGGAGAAACGCCCTAACCATGCAGGGACACTGGCTGTGTCCATTTGCCAGATGGGAACACAGGCCCAGAGCTGGTGCACCCGGCCTCTGGGGGTCGTGGGAAGCCCTCGGCACCCCGCGGGCTCTGACACCAGGTGCAGGGCCACCCCCGACAGCTGTCTCCAGGCCTCAGCGATACCAGAGCTATTCTTAGCCAGGGCAGGGCCTCCCGCGACTCCTGGGCAGGAGCATTACCCACGTGGGCCTGGGCAGCACCTCGCCAGGCCGCCACTCCCCTGTCCTCGACCTCGGGTGGGGTCCGGCGGCTGAGTTCCGCGTCTGAGAACCCATCCCCCGGCCCACTCCGACCCCTTCCTGGGGTCGGGGCCTCGGTGACCCCCGGAGAGAGGGTTCCCGGTACTCAGGGCGCCCGCAGCGCCCCAGGACTACCCCGCTGCCCTCGCGAGCGGCCCCGTTTTCCAGGCGAGGAAAGAGAAGAGCGCAGAGGTTCCGCCACGTCGCTGGAGAGCGGGCGGGCGCCGGGTCCCAGCGGCCCCGGCCTCGGTCGACCCCGCGCGCCCGGCGGGGGCTACCTCTGGAGGCGGCGGCGGCCGCCAGCGCGTGCATGTAGGGGGTCTCCCAGCGCTCCATCACCGGCTTGCCCAGGATCTGCAGGTGCGTGTCCGACGCGTCGTAAGCCGCGGGCGCCGCCCGCCACGCGGGGCTGCAGTTCTCTCCGGGTGCGAAGATAGGGGTCGCGGCGGGGACGCTCATGCTGCGGGCTGGACGGCGCGCCCCGGGAGCTGGGGAGGGAACGGCCGCGTCCCTGCAGGGCCTTCTGGGCAGGGGGCGGACGGGAGGCGGGGCGGGGGCGGGGCGCGAGTGCACTGCCCGGCGGCCCGCGCGGCCCCTAGCGGCCGCAGCGGGGAAGGCGGCCCCCACTGACTCCCGGACCCCCGCGACGCCCCCGCCTCCCGGGCCGCCAGCGCCTGGCGGGCGGACTCGGCACCAGAGCAGCGAGCCCTCGGAGTCCTCACCCAGTCGCTTTCCTGCCTCGGTTTCCTCGTCTGTCACCACCGCGTCAATAGCCCCCTCCTTGCCGGGGTGTGAGGGTCTAAGGATTTTCCAGACACGGTTGGAAGTGCCTTAAGTATATAAAATCACTTAGGAAATTCCTTGGCGGTCCAGTGGTTAGGACGCTGCGCTTTTACCGCCCAGGACGCGGGTCCGGCATCTAAGATGCCACAAGCTGCATGGCGCGGCCAAAATAAATAGAATAAATAAATACAATCACTTAATCTTCAGAAGCGCTGCAGTGGTTTCTTCTATCGTCCTTATTTTACAGGTGGGGAAACAGGCTCCAGAGGCAAAGCGGGTAATCTCATGGCCGGGAGGGTGGGGTGTGGGAACCCCTAATGAACCCCACTCTGACTCTTGTGCAGGGCTGCCTCTCCCCTTTCCTGAGCTCACCTCACTCTCCCAGGGCACCTCAGACCCCAGGGGCCTGATGAGGGGCTCAGCGCACAGGGGCCTCCGGTGCTGGGATTGAAATGCCCACCCCAGCGGTCCCCGGGCCCTCCAGCCCGTGACGGCAGGCGAGGCAGCCCTGCAGCGCCCACCCTTAAAGCCTTGCCCCAGGGCAGCCCTGGGGGTCAGCTGTGTCCTCTGCCGGCCACGCTGAGACCAGCCCCCAAGGTAAGCTGGGGTTTCCTCCAGGTTCTGAAACATGACTTCCCCTTCCCATCTATCTGCACACAGGGGGCCACCAGCTGTGAGCCTGGAACACCCCATCTGGGCCAAGTGTTTTGCACATCGCAGTGAACACGTGGGGAAACTGAGGCCCCGAGAGGCTGAGGTCACAGAGTTTGAACCCAGGTAGCCCTGCCCTTCTGTGTCCACCTCTGGATGGCTGCTCA